TCTGAAAGCTTCAACTGCATAAGGGGCAAGTTGATGTCACATATTCCTTTCTGCCAATTGAGGCTGGTACTCAACAGCACAAAACCCAATATTAAGAAGAAGCAGAAAGAAGCACTACAACATGAGGCTTATAGCTGCAACAGATTCAAAGTTTTCCCTAATCTAACATTGCAGTGCATCAGCTCAATAGCTGGTGTAATCTCCCTTTCTCCCCATAACACTCAGGAAGAATGAAATGCTTCTCAAAAGGAAAATGCTAGCAGAAGACTCCAAGCAAAGAAAATGTTACATCCCTTCATCACTTTAATACTATTGGACTACCAGGGGAAAGACCTTTGAGAAATGAAGCATATTGTGTTTAAAAGCAGGATTACACTAAAATAATATAATATAAACAAAATAAATTATTTATTTTCTTGATCTACAGAGTCTGCCTGGAGAAGACTGCTAGTTTTCTTAGCCATGTTTTTTAAAATGGTCTACCATTGCCTTCTTCCTAGGACTGAAAGAGAGACTAGATGAAGGTCACTCAGCTGGCTTTGTTACCAGGACTGAAGTGTACAGTCTCCTTTGTAACCCTGGTGCCTTTATTCACTACAACCAAACTGACTTTCCCAAAAGAAAACTTCAATGCATTTAAAAATTATGCAGGCCTTCTAAGTACTGCATGCTTTAGCACAATCTACTGCATCAAACCTGAGAGACATAAAAAGGATCCTGAGGTTATAACTTTACTGTAATTCAAATAAATATACAGATGGAAGCATGTAATTTTTCTCAGTCAGTTCACTAACTGGGACTAATAAACAGAACCGTAATTGTAATTTTATCCAAAACATAGTAGTCGCAGTATGTGATATGTATTTATTTTATGAAAAACTATTGTTTATATCATCTATTTTAACTTTCTATCACTTTAATTTCTTATAGAAAATTACAATTTCAAACGCTATGCAAAGGAAACCTCATCTAAAATAAACATATATTTCTATCAAGTGAGTTTTACAGTTCTGTTATCTCAAATTTATTTTCTTCATTGATTTCAAGTGGATTGTCTTATTTTTAAACAATCACATATGCTATAACTTACCACTAACAACATTTACTATCTTTTCCTCCTGTTCTTTCCATTTTTCCATGACTGAAAAGCCCCATATCTGTTTAAAGGTTATGCAATGCATTAAAAAATATAATGTATGACATGAGAGTATATAGACATGAGACAAATTGTTAACAGTAGTTACACCTTTTGCTTAGCTCAGACTACTGTAAAAACTACTCCAATCTATGTCTTGCAGGTTGCCTCCACATAAACATACAAGTAGTCCTTGACATACAACCGTTTGTTTAGTGACCATTCAAAGTTACAATGCACTGAAAAAATTGGCAGATGACCATTTTTCACACTTATAACCATTACAGAATCTCCATGGTCACACAATCAAAATTCAGATGCTTGGCAAGTGATTCATATTTATAATGGTTATGGTGTCCTGGGGTCATGTGATCACAAGTCCATGGGGAAGCCAGATTCACTTAACTGTGTTATTAACTTAACAATTGCAGTGATTCATTTAACAACTGTGGCAAGAAAGGTCATAAAATGTCTAGTTTAATGAAAAGAAGGACTGGGGTGACATGATAGCAGTGTTCCGATAGCTCAGGGGTTACCACAAAGAAGAGGAAGTCAAGCTATTCTCCAGAGCACCTGAGGGCAGGACAAGAAGCAATGGATCGTTCAATGTTAAATGATCAGTTTAAAAATAATGGTATTTCCCATCATTCTTGTCATTTTAGAAACTGTAAGTTCTCTAAATAGATTTAGATACATTGGAAAGAGGTTTTAACATTCTATTTTGTTGGCAAAACAGCACTATTAGAACAATAATGCTATTGGATTCCAAATAAAGTATAGCATAAATAATGTCTATATAAATTGGTCTGGAAGCCATAAATGTATTATTGTGTAGAAAACATATTAAATCATGTCAATAGAAAAGGTTATTCAAGACCTCATAAAAATAGCTTTAGTTTAGTATGCTGTTTAACATACAGTAATAGTGTTCTACCATGATTGTTCCTAATATTTTGTTTGTGTTCCCAACCAACTTATAAGGAGAACCATAGTTGTTCCAGTTTGCTAGTATTGGTTTCCATAACTTCACAAATTTGAACTAGTCTGAAAATTAAAAGTGTGTAGGAAGCACAATCTATTCCAAATCAAGAATCACACTCAAGAATCACAATAATCTCTGCAATGATGCTCTGCTCCCATATGATTCATAATCTCAAATAGACAAATTCTAGCATTTCATATTGAAATACAGAGTCCTTGGTGCTCTCTGAGCTTGTTTTCTTGCAGACATTTTGTTACCCAACTAGCTAACATCTTCAGTGCTAGAATGGAGTTTGCAAACTAAACCTTGCACCAAGGACTCCACAATTCAACCCCAAGTTACATATATTCTCGTCTATTAATATGAAAATATTGCTATAGTATCAGCATTCATATCAGATTCATATTTTGCATTCACTAGTAGAATTACTCTTGCTTTTCCAATTTTGTTTTTGCTTTTACATTTTCATTTCATCATTCATTTCTTTCTATTTTTCTTATATTATTAAACAACTGCAAGTTCTTTTTTATCCATTATACAACTGTAAGATCTCCCTGTGGTAATAACTAAATCAAAAAGAGCTCAATATTTTAATGCTTGGAATCAACAGTGATAATCTTGGGGCTCAGAGGAGTTCTTATCAATAGCAGCAAGACATTTACAATATGACACCTTGCTTCTTAAGTATTTTTCTATGTTTTTATTAAAATAATATTTAAAAATAAACTAGGCTAGGAAACCAGGAAAATACTAATGTACAGTACTCCTCTATCCTCAAGAATCTTATTACCTAGAACAAAAATATAAAACGTAAATTTTAAAAAGTGTATATAAAATCTAATCTAGAATTAAGTATTCCCATTTAGATAGAGTAATCAAAGTTCCTGTTTTAGATGTTTCTACTTTTTTTTTGGTAGAAACAGATGCACCCATAAAATAAAAACATCCTCCAACTTAACTATATAACTTACTTTAAAAAATATATTGGAAGAAACAATTTTTGTCTTGTATTAAGAAATGAATTTTCTTAGTTTAAAAGCTGTCTTAACAAGAAGTTCCTTTTACAATATTCAAAAATACAAAAGTTCTATATCCTATCATACCTTACAATTTAAAATACCAAATTAATAAAGACATGACCCACTTCCCAGTAATGGAAGAGTGATAATCACGTTATCTTACACAAAACCGCTGTTACGGTGACTAGTTCAAGTAGCAAATTCCTATTTACAAAAGTTCATTTCAACAAAAATATATTTAAATGTAATTGGGATTTTAGAAGTTGAACTCCACTGTTTATTTCCACTATCTATTAGCAAATAGATGCCTTGATGGAACATGTTCAATTTCTAACCCTAAAGCTACACCAGATGTTGAAGAATGCTATAAAACAAATTTAGAGAAACATAGGAATGGACAGAGACCAAGGGGGAAGTTCATTTGCAAACAAGTGATTAATAATACTAGTCATTATAATATATATAAAATTTTAATTTATGTTTTGTATTAAATATTAGATAAAAATCAAAGTAAAAAAAGAGGGAATTCAACTGAGACAAAGGGTATTTGGAATTCATACACATTTCAGAGACTTTAGACACACGAAATCATTTACATTTTTTTTAGCATAAACCTCCTAAATATAGGTGTATAACTTCACTACAAAAGTATAAGCTGTTTAAAGGGTATTCTTTTTGTTAAATTTATTACAAAAAGAATGATTTTAGCAACTTATTTACAGAATTTTAATTCCACGAGATTTGTTGTAACTTCACCACATAACATTCAACGTAATAAAAATATGAAAAGGATAATAAAAGGCAACTTGCAACAAGTATGTACTATAAAATTGTTTCTATTAAGAAAGGGTTGTTTAAAACCAAATTAATATGAAGTAATATACACTGCACTACGAATCAACCTTCTCTATATAGTGATAGTGTCCAAACTATTTCTTCTTCTCCACCACCACAGTAATTGTCATGAGTGAAAACAGAACATATAAAGTAGAAAATTGATGCATGTTCTGTGCTATTTCATATGTTCTTAACAAAGACCGAAAAAGTAAAGGAACAAAATAGTCCAATGGAAACTGGGTTACTATATTCAATATACAATACTTTAATATTTTATACCAATAACAAACTCACATGTAAATTATATCTGGTTAAAGGAACAGCAAGTTTATTAAGAAAAATAAATGCCAACATTTGTTAGAAGAAAAAAAATTAAGTACTGCAGAAATTAAAGATGAAACTTCTGTTACAATATAGCTGCCTTAAATCACTTAAATATAGATTAAAACATTAAATGAAAATTTAATTTTACAGGAAAAAAGGATATAACAATATAGAATTAAAGTTGTTAGATGATAGCGACAAATTTTATACTTCTGAATGTGAATGCATATCCAACATTTCTTCCACAGCAGTGACAAAAACACTACTTCCCATAGCTTAATCTGCACATTGTCCTAAATGTACTTCTGTTCAGTATTAAAATTGAAATCCTACTACAAAAATCCTAGGCTTTATATTTTACTAGCTAAAATGAGTAAAGAATAAATAAAGTAGATTTTTGTTCAATAAGGTATCATGAGAACCAATACAGTATCGAAATAAATACTGAAACTAATTGAAATGAAAATTGAAACTAATTCATTGTCCTTAGTTAAAATGTAACCTGAATGGCAAAGTAGCCATTTATTTTTTTCTTTTATTATCATAATTATAAAATGTAAAATTGCAATGACTTGCCCGCACTGCATATACCCTATTTTTCAAAGAATTAATTAATGTTTTAACCAAAAGGATAATAAACATGAACTACCTTCACATTACATAAAAGCATTCTATTAAGTTTAAATAGAAAAACATATCTTACCTTGAATATCCATTGGAGAAGACAGATCTGTTTGAAAAATTCAAAGCCCCTACTGGTGTAAGGGCATCATCTCCAGATCCCTGGCATCTATTCCAATTTTCTGAACTAGCAGGATGAGATGGAATGACATTGAAAACTGGTTTCTTATCCTGCTGTTGAGTGACAGACGCAGTGTTCAAATCATAGTGGTAAACTTGTCCTCCAGAAGTGCTAACACCATGAACAGAAATGGCAGATGTTTTATTTCCAACCATACTTGACCCAGAAAAATTAGCCTGGCAGTAAGTTGTGCCTATTTTTTCCTGCTTTATTACTCCAGGGGTACACAATTCAATAAAATCTTCTTTTTCAGTTTTCACTTGTGGCATCTGCATTGTAGAACTTGACAAAAGATCCTCACATTCATTAATATTAGGCTTTGTGTCTGGTAAAATGGGAGGCTTGCAATCCTCCATTTCATTTCCTTCCAAAAGAAAACTCTCATCCCCACCAAGAGGCGAAAGCAAGCTACTTTCATCCAGAACAGGATCAATTCTCCAAGGGCTTCCATTTGTTTCTCTTCCAGGAGACACTGGTGGCAAATCAAAATCTTGCAAAATATCAAAAGTGCTTTGGTCTTCCGAAAAGAGCTTCAAGTTGCCACTGTTATTATCAACCTGGCCTTGTGCTAAAGACCCTTGATTTAAAGTAAGATCACGACTAGTCATAGCTGGGAACTCTGATTCTAGGGATACATCAGTAGATGTGACTCCTTTTGAGCTTTCTATCAGACTTGAGGATTTATTCAAGCTTGCTATGCTTTCTTCAAGGAGTCTAAAATCTGTTTCTCCAGAGGAGAGGCTGATTTGGCCTTGCTGAGGAAATCCAAGTTCATTTCCCATTACTTTTGTATCGGTTTCACCCATATACAGTCCCATTGAAAGTGACACTGCTTTGGAGAGATCCGGCTGCGGCACATTGCTTCCTAACCCCTTTGGCAACTCACAAAGAACAGGTTGCTTGGAGTCAGATTGAGATGAGGCAGACAGGGTAGACACAGGAGTCTTGACAGAAGCACCACCCCTAAAGGATTGATGAAAGTGAGCACTTTTCCCTCTTTCCTCCCCTCCGGTGGATTTCAACGATTCTTTGGGCTCCATTATTTTAATACTAATAAAAAAAAGAAAGAAACCACCATTAGCCTGAGATCAGAAATATAAGGATTTAAGAAGTACTGACCCCAAGAAAAAAAGAATATTAAAAAGGTTGACTTAATAGTTTTCAATGTCTCTTAAGTAATATTTCTAATACTTGAAAGTTATCTTAATTTAATCAAATATTTGTCTAATATAATCAAACCACAAAAAAGCAACATATTAGCTATTTAATAGAGCATTTAATTCATGTCAAATTAAAGGCTGTTTATAAGTATCCTGTTTCCCCCAAAATAAGACATCATCAAAGGCCAATCCGGTTTTTGATTGCATGGCAATAAGGCCAAACACTTATTTCAAGGTTCAAAAAAATATAAGACAGGGTCTTATTTTTGGGAGAACACGGGTATAACAACAAAAAGTATCTTTAATTTGTATACTTTTCCTAAGAATTCTCACAAAGATCTATTCAAATATTGTTGCATTTGTATCCATCACAATTTACAAATCCTTTTATCATCCAGGTTCCTCAGTATGATCCATTGACTTAACTTTCATTAAAAAAGAAATTTTACTATATAGTATGGCTGTTAATTTAGAAATAGAAATTTAGAAATAAGATCTTATTATTAAAATACTAAAAATTATTTTTAGTATGGAGTATACAAATAGATAGATAGATAGATAGATAGATAGATAGATAGATAGATAGATAGATAGCCTTAACTTCTTTGCACAGATTTTCCAGAAATTTATGAAACTGCCTAGGGTATTTATGAATGGCAAGAAAGTAATTTACAATAAATGAAAAGGCAACATATACAAATGACACAGCCAATTCTGCAATATCCTCTTCAAAAGTTGCATGAAACTTTTAAAATTCTTTTTGGGCCTTGACAAAAGGAATTGTGCAATTTTAAAAGATCCACACTACAATATAGCTCTAAAGTAAAAAAAAAAAGAAAAAAAAAAGAGGGAAGGACAGAAAAAGAACCGGAGTTACCACATTTGACAAGTTTCTCTCCTTGTCATTATGTGACAGATAACGCCAAAGGGATAAATCTATCATATGATTCATTTGCTGGAAGAGAAAAAAGCAACTCCAAAGATATTTAATCTTTTTTGAGTTGAAATTCTCCTTCTTGTAAAGATGAAAAAAGAAAGAAAAAATGTGTCGGGACCTGTTGAGCATTTGCCTGGCACGCCCACTTCTGCAAAATAACATCAGCCCTTTGCTTAAAAAAAAAAAAAATTCCAACCAAGTCCAAGTTTTCAACTCCTTGTCTGTTTCCAATCCGCGGGGCCGCCAAATAAAAAAGGGGAAACAAAAAGGGAGGTGATAGCATACTTTTTTAAAAAAAAAACGTGAACAATTTTTTTAAAAAAACAAACAAACCTTGCAAATAGTCCTTTTTCTTTCTTTTTTTTTTTAAGTCTCGGGGAAGATAAAGTGGAGGGAGGGAACCATTACATAAGATTTATACTACTTTTGCAGTGCAGTCCCATACACGTCTATCAGAAGAAAGTCCGTTTGAATTCAGAGAGTCCCTCACTCCTAAGAAAATAGATAACAGGATCGCAAACTTAAAATCGTTCCATTCCAAGAAGAGATCCTATTTTGGACATTCTCTTAAAGCCGGATTAAAATGAGCCAAAAATGGTTGTGGAACAGAATAGGAAATCACCGCTCCCCCACCCACCCACCCACCCTCGCCTACAGTATACATATAGGCGCGTACATATACGTACGCTACTTAAACACACACCAGACACCTTTCTCCCTCGTCCCCGTTTAACGAGGGGGACTTTAAAGTTTAAGCTTTAACGCAATGGATCGAAGGGAAGGGGCTCCCACCCTTCTCCGGCCTCACCGCCACTCGGCTGCAAGCCGCTCGGTCTTAATGGCGGGAGTGGAGGGTGGGGGGAAAAGAAGGCATTACTGACAGGGTGGAGGGTGACCTCTACAGAAAAAAAAAAAAGCACTCGGCCGCCGCTTCAGCCGTGCATCTCCCCTTCGGGGGGGACAGAGCCAAAAAGTAGAAATCCTCCCTCCCCCCCCCCCCCCCCCCAACCCCGGCCCACACCTAGGAGGGGGGAAAAAAAAGAGTCAGGGAGAGAGAGAGAGAGAGAGAGACACCCCTTACCGTATCCAGTGGGGGCGCTGGGAGTCCTCCTAACCACCAACTTCCATGGCTCCAGCAGGCAGCGAAGCAAATAAACAACTTGGTGGGGACTGGAAGGAAGCAGAGTTACGGGGCGACGGGATTGGGTGTGGGGTGGGTGTGTGGGGGGGGTGAAAGCAGCCGCCCCTTTGCAGATGAGGAGGTAAGCAGCCGCCCCCCTCCCTTTCCTCCCTACACGCACACTTGACAGGCGGACCCGCGCTCCCACACAGACACACACACACACACACACCGCCGCAGCCCCTCACCTGCTACTCTGCCACCCACCCCCGCTCGCGTGCAGCACACGCACACTTCTGCCCCCGCGATTAATTAAAGTCACACTTTCTCTCTCTTCCCTTCTCCACGTCTCTCCCGCCTCCCTCTGCCAGGGCGTCCCGCCCTCCCCTTCTTCTTCTTCTTCTTCCCCTCCTCTTCCTCCTCCTCCTCCTCTTTTTCTTCCTCCTCCTCCCCCTCTCCCTCCTCCCCCCGCCAGCCACTCCGTCTGCGCTCAGCTCTACGGTTTGTGCCCCAGCCACAAAATGGAGGACGACGACGGTGCTAGCAAGCAGCAGCCGCAGCCGCGGCAGCCTCCGCCTCCTCCTCCTCCACTGCCCCCCCCCTCACTCCCTCCCCCCAGACCAAGGAAAGAGAGCAAGAGACGCGGCAGAGCGGGGAGCGCGCGCAAACGAAGGGGGCGCGCGGGCGGGCGGGCGCACGGGCTCGCGCATTGCGGGGCAGCCGAGGGGGAACGGTGCAACCTGTTGACTGAGAACAGCAACTGCAACCCCCGGCAGGGCCCCCCCCTTTCCCCCCCCCCCCCCCCGCTCCACTTCTCCAAACGTGCCCCTTTCCGCTAACAGTTTCTTTTTCCTTCTTCCCTCCCTTACTTTCTTCCTTTTTTTTCTTTTCGGTTTCTTATCTTGCCCGCTGCAGCCTATGGTGGGGTTTGGGTTTTTTGGGGGTTTGGGTTTTTATAAGCAGCATGTTGATTTTTAGCAAGCCCATTGCGTTTTTAAAACGTAACTGCGATGAGTGACAGGCAGTCTTCGGCGAATTTCACTTATGGGGAAATCCTAATCAACCTGGTGAATTAATTGTGTGTGTGTGTGTGTGTGTGTGTGTTTTAAATCAGGTCTGGGCTTATTCAAAAGGGGGGGGGGGTGAAAAAGAGCGAACTAGGGACGCCGAAAACGGGCAACAAACCTTCCGAGAGGATTGAAGGGCCAGCGCTGACAGCGTTAAGCCGAAATGACAGAAAGGGATTTCGGCATTTCCTAGAAAATAGCACTTTTCAGAATTGTAAATGCGGGGTGCCACCATATATATGCGTTATTAGATTTTTAAAAAATCTACTTAAAGAGGTGAGATTTTTTGGGGGACCGAATGTGTATAAATTGTATGCTGTTTAGAACAATTGTTGGCTATTAGAGGAGCAGGCCTCGTCATGTCTCATTTTGAAAGAGTTTTCAATATTAATTGTAGGTCAGCAAAAAGAACCAAGTTCTGCATTAGCTAATGGCTTATACAGCTCACTTATAGGATAGACGAGTCAAATGAAAACAGACCGGAAGAAGACTTACATGATGAATTTTTGTGCATATAATTTTCAATTTGGTATCTGCCGTATGCAGAATTTTTTCATGTGTCCACATGCAGACACATTCTTCTAGAAATATATATACATACATACATATGTGTGTGAGTGTGTTTGATTCAATTAAATTTTGTTTAATTCAATTTAAGGTACACAGCGCATAAGAGTTGTGCAAACATGGACAGCACTGTTTTGAACCTAGAATGGCTACATCAGATGTCCCAAGTTTGAAAAGACAATGGTGATCTGGAAGTTTAATTTGAGTTAACATTAAATAGTTCTGTTCTGCATGTAAAATAAAGCTTGGCTGCTTTGAATGAATCCATGCTTGAATTTTATTTTTGAAGTTTGGGATTGGATTTTTTTAAAATAGAAAAACAGCCTAGTCAGTTCAATAGCAGGAATTGACAATACTATGCTGTTTGTAGGTTAGATTAAGATAGGGTTAGACAGGGTGGGTGCCATGTACAGAATGCAGGGGCAAAGATGTAGTTTCTAGGCCCTAGAAGAAAGAATTGAAGGATCCATCTTCATCACCTGCTTCTACTTTTGTGCCGTTTGAAGACTGCTTGCAATTGTCTGCTTACCTGGTAAGCAAACTTTACCTGATAAATAAGTTACTGCGGGTTTTTTTTTACTTGTTGCTTATTAAAAATTATACTTCATGTTTTGTGTTGTTTTCTTTTATAGCAGATAGGCTGCTATACTCCAGGTAAACAGGAGTAAAACATAAGCATGCCTTTTAAATTAAAAATCTCCATGGCACTTCCCAAATGTTTGCTCATTGCTATCTCCTGAATCCTTTGAATCAGAATATTCTAAACAATTTCTCAAGCATATTTAACAAATGGAATCCCCTATTTTTTAGCATTCTTTCTTGCTACCCATGGAAGGAAACAGTAATGACATTAATCCAATCATCAGGCACTATTCACTTTCATTTCCTCATGTCCCAACTTTATATACATCTCTGTGACTTCGAAAATGGAAGCCATTCACCTGGGAGCTTGTATCATTCATAGTAGGTTAGTAATAGATGCCAGGGAAACTGTATGCCAAAGTCTCTATGGGGAGGAGAGGGGGTGTAATGTCAAACTAATTTTTTGGCTGAAAACTTGTCATGCTGCTGAAGAAGCATTGGCATTGAAATCTGCTCTAATTTGAGCATATGAAAAGTCATGGAGGAGGAAATGGGTCATTTAAAATAGTCCATAATGTCCAGCTGGCCAGCTATCCTGGCAAAACAGCACATCTTTTTTCAAGGAAGGAAGATCTCTAACCAATTGTTGTGATGTCATTCTCCCCATTCCCAAGGAAAAGGAGAGAAAGAGAAAATGGAAGAATTGCATGAAGATCATCTAGCTGAGCCTGTACATATGTATCCTGCTTTTGCGGAGTGGAGATTTGATCAGATAAGGAAAGAACCTTTCTTCCAGTCCCAAGAGTTTCCCAGAGTGAACCAAATACCAAAGAAAAGAGAGAAATTTTTTCCAGGTGCAGAATGGAGATGGGATGAGTATTATAAAGTAGGGAATATTCTGGTTTATATGATAAACCATCCACCAGCTTATTCTGCAAGCTAGAAATGCAAGTTAAAATGACGAAAAGGATGTGCCCACCTGAGCTGTGAATTTGTGAGAAGTCTGTTCCAAATTGTGGTCAGTTTGGATTTCCTTTTAGGAGATGGCACCATTGCTAAAAGACTTCTTTAATAGTCAAAAATATCTTAGTAACTTTCATGTAAAATATTTGCCAGAAAATAGAGGCAATCCTCAACCTATGACCACAATTGACCCAAACATTTCTATTGCTAAGTGAGACATTTGTTAAATAAGTTGTGCCCCATTTTACGAACTTTATTGCCATAGTTGTTAAGTAAATCAGCTACAGTTGTTAAGTTAGTAATAAAGTTAGCACAATTAAGTGAATCAAATTTTCCCATTAACTTTGCTTGTCAGAAGGTTGCAAAAGGTGATCACATGACCCCAGGACACTGCAATCGTCATAAATATAAGTCAGTTGCCAAGCATCTGAATTTTGATCACATGACCATGGTATGCTACAACGGACATAGGTGTGAAAAATTGTCATAAGTCACTTTTTTCAATGCCGTTGTAACTCTGAACAGTCACTAAATGAATTGTAAGTCAAGAACTACCTGTATTGGCAGAGTCCCCTCAACTTGGACTAAAAAAGTGCAGATCCCAAGGGAAAATGTGAAATGTCACCCTGATCTGGATGATAGAGGGTTTTTAAAAGATTATTTTATTTTATTTTATTTTATTTTATTATTTTATTTTATTTTATTTTATTTTATTTTATTTTATTATTTTATTTTATTTTATTTTATTTTATTTTATTTTATTTTATTTTTTTTTATTTTATTTTATTTTATTTTATTTTATTTTATTTTATTTTATTTTATTATTTTATTTTATTTTATTTTATTTTATTTTATTTTATTTTATTTTTATACCGCCCTTCTCCAGCAGTACTCAGGCCGGTGAACAGCCAAGGTAAAACATAGCATACAAATTTTAAAACAATTTTAAAAGATACTAAATAATTTCAGCGCACAATTTAAAAACACCTCAATAAAATCAATTACAAATTAAAACCGAAAGATGGGATCAAGCCAGCCCAGCTAGATGACATAAGTGAGTTTTAAGGGACCGACGAAAAGTCCGGAGGTCCGGGAAACTTATTCCTGTTTGAGAAGAAGAAAAGTTTGTTAGTGTGTTGGAATCCCATTCAAAATGAACCCCCTTCTTGGTAAGAGTCAATGGGTGTAGTTTGTGCAGCAAAATTAGGAATACATGTATGATAAAAATTGGCAAGCTTCAGTAAAAATGTATGTCCTTGATAGCCTGAAAGAAGGTAAACAAAGGTAAAATATAGGACATTTACAAATGCATGGCTTTTCTCAGATTCAACTCTTGAATCACTGATGAGTTTTGCTCATTTGTCACCTCTTTTGAAGAAAGCTCTCAGAATAATATATTCAGTTTTAGCATATCCATTTGCTTTTTGTTTGAGGAAATACCATAGCCCTTATAGTCCCATATGGATAAATCAAAAGCCATACAGTATATTTAGTGAAGCATAAGAGTTGTAATTACAAAGGTATTGAAGTATGGACACTAGGCAAATGGGCAAATTGTTCAAATAAACTACTACAAAAAAAATTCCACAATTTCATGAAAAATATGTTTCAAAAATCACATGAAAACTGAGAAAACATTGCCGCATATTCAATTTTCTCATAATGATAGTCAAAGGCAATTAAATATTTGTTGTATTCTTTCATGCAACTAAAATCAACTTCCCTTGATTCATTGAAAGATCTATTCAGATACAAAATAGTCATGGAAATAAGTAGATGACCTATGTTGGCGAATCATTCAACATTTTCATTTGTAATAATTTTGTAAGCCAAGACTGCCTGACAGATCACACGTTTTGACTGTGGCACCTGCCAGCTGTTCGGATAGAAAAGGGCAGAGATTTTGAGGAGTAGGAGGATGACACTTGAGTAATGAGAGAGTGACAGAGGCTGATGGGAGTATTAAAATAGGTGGAGTTCCTGATGAAGAAATAGTCATCATTTCACATCATTGCTCCTATGCTTGGTGAAATCCATCTTCAATTGATTGGATCTCATTTAGGAGATGACAATGTTGAAATATCATTCCAACATCAACACTACCTCTGACAGATACCAGGGATAAACAGAGCTTGATCTTATTACTGTCAACATTCCAGAAAAACCCCAACTCCAAGTAAAGACGCGGAAGCAAACATTTTTCCAAAGTTCTCTTTACTAGAATAGGCAAACTGGCACATATGGGAAAACCCGAATCTGAAAAGCCCGGGTTTTCCTTCAGTAAGTCAAAACTCCCAAAACCATCCCCCATCCCCAGTCGATCACATGCTCCAATCAACGTCCATTCCATCTCGATCCAGCCCCCTGACCACTACTCCTCCAGATGCTGGATTGCCCTGACCTTGACCGACAGGAAGAATGCTATTATGTCTACTAACAACTCCTCTCCTTAATCCCCCCTCCTACTTTCCCACAAATGAGAAGGTGGCAGCATTGAAGCTTCCGGCCTAATATGGCTTCCAAAGTTGACAATTACTATATCCAACGAAATTTCTGAGCACCTTTATATAAATGTTGATAGCAAAATGAGAATTTGGACTCCTGTGTGTGGTGTCCATTGGACTAAGCAGAGGTCCTCTAAAACAACGTTCTCCAACCTTTCTGGCTCAGTGGATTGGCAGAGATGATGGTGGCGGTGAGGGAGGGAATTCATTTTGAATTCTACGCAGAATCTCAAGACAAAATGCAGTTTTGTGTACACGTGTCCTGTATGACTGCACAACATAAATAAAACATGATCTCTGCTTAATTATATACTATATTAACAGGCTACGTCATCTTACCACAAAATTAATTTAGTTGACCTCTTTTCTAAGATGGGTTGTTTCTTTTCTTGAGGCCACCTCATTGCTTCTCATATAGTTCCTCTATTTATTCAACAGGTTTTCTGAAACCATAGCTTGTCCAATCAATCAATTTTCTGAGAGAGACACATTTTTATAGCATATTTTTGGAAAAAATGTCATTAGAAAAGGTGCTTTAATCAATTAAATAGACTCCACCCAATGGAAGATTCAGTTAGAATTTATTTTGTACAGCTTCTTTGTCCCTGGTAGTCGTACATCATGGAACATCTTAAGCAGAGTATGCTATACGTACACATGAGAATTCAATTATTTTTTGATTAGCTTTGCAGTTTGGGTAGTAGCTTCAGTGAAAAAGTTTCCCATATACGAATAGTCCTTTTAATATATGTATAGGAAGTGATGACACCGATCTGGTTACAATCACATTGAAATTTCATGGCTTTTTCCCACATGAGTAATATGCAAAATAGGCCTCTTCTAATTCAATCTTTTCAAAACTTCCCTTCTGTTTCACTTTTCTATTTCCACATTTGTATTCTGTTCCTCCTCCATGTTTATATACTTTTTCTCAGTCTCATCTACCTCAGTTCCTCCTGTCTTCAAGATCAATTTTTTTGCATGCAGCAGCAACCACACAGACACTTTATTGAACCAAGTGGGTTGACTAGCAACAGGAAGTACAAAATAAATGTCAAACCATAATAGAAGTTAAACAGAAATAATAAATGAATAAGAAGAATAGCGTAATTACAGTAGCTTTAAAGTAAATGAATGAAATCACAGACCAATCTGCAGATATTGTGTGTGTGTGTGTGTGTGTGTGTGTTTCCATACATTTCAATGATGGTGGAAAGTCACCAAAGAAAAGGCTAGATGGGCTTTTTAGTAAGCTATCTTGCAGGATAGAAGTATCCATGAAAAAGCCTTTCAGATAACTTTCAAATCCACTAAAGATGACAGAAAAGTACCTCCTGATTAAATTTAAATATTATGGACTTAGAAGAGGATTCACTATGTCAAATAAACTGGTTTCCGGTTTGGTAGAGCTTTGTAGATTACATCAGAACTGTGGCTTGACACTGCTGTTAATTAATGAAACTATGTCCTGGTTGGACATTAACCATGCAGTTGTCTAAGAATAAACATGTTCCAGGTTAACAGCATTTATTATACATTTATTACTGTGCTACATTTAGTAAAGGTGAACTGTAAAATGGAACTGCTTGCCACAGTTTCCACAAAAAATATGTTTAAATTCAATGAATTTTATAAACAGCAGTGCATGAAACTATATCTAAAATTATTTTTTATTTTTTTAAAAAGTCTGATTGACCAGCAATTTCAAAAAGAAATGATTCTTGTTTACTACCAATAATATTTATTTATTTCCTGAATCCTAGTGAAGATACACTATAAAGAAAACTCTCACCGCAGACATGCATATATACAGAGACTACTTATCAGTAAAATCTTTTTGACATATTCCTGAAATCTGCCTGCCTGCCTGCTCCATTTCCATAAGGTAACTCCATCAGGAACTTTATTTTTGCATGGCACAAGAGCAACAATGATTGATAGTGGTAACTAACTTCTGTTAAGCAGCAGTGTAGATTCTCTCTCCTACCTGATGTTTATGATGAAACTAGCTGGATACCCATGCTCTACTATGGAACTATGTGATTGGGCTTGATAAATCGACACAGCTTAAAAATTAATGAGTAATTACGATCAGCCTCTCCTATCCCCTTCTCTTCCTCAGGCTTGCCTCACAGAAGCCTCTCCTATCTTATCCCCTATCAAGGTTATAACCCATTTCATGTGAGGAAGAAGAATCCTATTCCAAAGAAGACAGTTTGAGAAGCTCTGACATGGGGAATTCTTACAGATGGCATTTTTGAAGGATGAGAACCTGGAGATAATATTGGGTAGAGGCATTTCTACCCCAAACCCATGAAGGGATTTACATACATCAACTAGCACCTTGAATTGTACTCAGAAAAAAAAAGTGGTAGACATTGCAGCCCTCGAAGTAGAGGTGTTAACATGGGCAAACTGCATTCTGGATCATCTGAAGTTTTGGGTGGTCTTCAAATTTAGTCCCATCTACAGAACATCTGAGTAATCTAAATGGGAAATAAGGCATAAGTGAGTGTGAGCAAAGCCATTCAGTGCAGAAAAGTTAATAACCAGTGAATAAGGTGGAGCTATGAAAACCCTCTCATAGCTGCAGTTCCCATCTGCTCTTGAAACAGAAGCTGTGAGCCAGGAGGACTCCAGATTACAACTCCACCAGTCCAAAACTGCAGTTGGGATCAGAGGACTTTTCCACTCGAAACCACTTTGAAGTACTGGGTTTGAATTTAAGCCATCCAGACCCTCACAGCCACCAGGCACTGAGCAAAATCTTCACTGTGTCTCCTGTTTAAACAGGAGTCAAGGTACACAGCCAAATGTATTTTATAGAGAGGATAACTTTGACATATCTATGCAAGAACTTTTACATAAAGGGGGCTAATACATCATTCAGGCCCATCCATTACTTATTCAGTTAGTGGCAGAAATTCACTTCCACAAACAGTGCAACATAGAATACAGGTAATTTCTCTTGCTTGGAACATGTACAATGTACATGTACAATGATGTACAATGGATAGTTATTTGAAAATAGTAAATAACTTCTGCGCATTCCTAATTATGCCCAGGAAGTCAAAATTATTAGTTTTAAGAGGTATTTCTAATTATATAGGAATATTAAAAGGAGAATAAAACTAAATATACTCTAAACTGGGGTTCTTTGGTGCTCTCTGAGTCTAGCACTGATGATGTTACCTAATTTGGGTAATGAAACGTCTGCAAGAAAACACTCAAATTCAGAGAGCTCCAAGGAACCCTCATTTCAACACTGAGTTACAAATATTCTCCTTTATTGATACTCTAAACCAGTGGCCCTAACCTTTCCAGCTCCCCAGATCAGCGATGGGAGGGATGGGATGGTTTCATATGTGCACCCGCCACATGTGCAAATGGAGCTTTGCATGTTCACATGCTCACCTGCCGCTTGCGTGGCCTAGTTCCCAACAAGAGGTGGACCAGTATCAGTCTCTGGACTAGGGGTTGGGGAACCCTGCTCTAAACTATGACAATGGTCATGAAAATAAAAGGAAATAATGAACATGAGTTAAAAAGTGGAAACATAAATCAGTGAGGCCAATACTATGCTTCATAATTCAGAAAAATTTCCCAATGACTAGTTTTGTCTCCAATATCTATGAAGATTCTCAGTCATCCAGGTCATTGTTGTCCCAAATGTGCTTTTTCAAGAGGCAACGGAACTTTCTGTTTTTTCTTTGAAGATGTTTTGCTTCTCATCCAAGAAGCTTTTTCAGAGCTGAAGAAGCTTCTTGGATGAGAAGCAAAACATCTTCAAAGAAAAACCAGAAAATCCAGTTGCCTCTTGAAAAAGCACCTTTGGGGCTGCCTGGACTCCACAATGGAAAACACTAAATTGAAAATGAATACAACAATAGAGAGAGATGAAGGAGGGAAAAGTTGGAAGGGAAGAGGAAAGAGAGAGAGGGAGGGAAGAGTAGGGACGAAAGAAGGGAAGGGAAATTAGAGTAGGAGAGAAGGTAAGATAGGGGAGAAGAGAGGAGGAGAAGGGAAGGGGAAGTAGGGAAGAGAAGAAGAAGGTGAGGAAGAAAGTAGGAAGGGATAGAGAAGAGGGAAAGGATGGGTTTGAGGAGAAAGATTGCTGTATAATAAAAAGATGAAGTGGAAGAAAGGCAACTCTGAATGAACAAATATAAATATATTAAGATAAAGAATGAATTGTTTAAGAATAAAAGAGAATAAATGTGAATAAATAGTAAAGTAAGAATTTAGGGATAAATGAAGATGATGTTTATGTATGCAGGTATAGAAATATTGAGATAGGTTTTTTTTTTAAAAAAGGGAGAAATAAGAATAGGGGAAGACGATTTTGGAAAAAACTGAATAAAATGTATTTGAATTTGATTAATTGTATAAAATAAAAAATGGTCAATGCTTTGTTAAAAAAAAAAGATGTGGGTGAATGTGGAAGAGATTAAAAAACCAATAAAACTTGTTTTTTTTTTAAAAAAAAGAAAAAGCACCTTTAGATTTTGTCTCCAATTTTGAAAATTCATCCCAGTTAATAAGGCATTGCTAATCTGTGAGGTCATAAAACTGATTTAAAGACAAAAGTAATCATTTAACTGTTGCACACTCCTTGTTAGTATAGCAACCAAAAGATTATTTCTGGGAAACTCTAATGCGTTGTGAGTTTGTCTGCAAATCACACCAGCTATAGCCTTTCTTTAATAACAGAGCTTGATAAATGAAGTTCTGTAATTAGGTTTCTGTTTGGCACAACCGTTGAATTGTATTTAAATTTTTTATACAAGTTTCCAATTTTATTCATTCCTATATTAAAACAAATGCGTGCAAGCTGCTCTGGTTTCTCCTTGAATCTATTTTTCAACTCAGATGCAGCGGTCAGTAATAGTGGTAAACTATTTCTTCTAATTATACTTCATTTCCATTCCTTCTTTGAAAATTAACACCATATTCATCCACAAATTTAAAAAAGATTTTTTTAAATGGGTGTTTTCAAATCTGTTTTAATTATTCTTTCTGGTTGCAGAATCATTAGTTTTTTTGGCTGCTTCAAATGTGTTACTGAAAACAATCCCATCTCATATTTTTTTGCCAAGTTTTCAAACACGGAACTGTCTTTACATCCATGTTTTTCTTCCATAAGAGTGAAGTTACAGTTAAAGGATTTAGTACTCTCAGCGTAATTGGAATAAGAAAAGAAGTACAATTAATCTGATTGAATATTCCAAAAGCTTTATTTTGTGGATGGCCATATTTTTCACAAGAGGATGAACCTATCAGTTTGGATAATATTTAAACTAACTGGTATTTTAAAAGGCTGATTTCTAATATTTTCACTTTCAAATAAATCTGAATATTCCTTTACCTATTCAGAATGACTAAGCAGAGTTAATGATTTGAACAGCAATGAATCAAACTATTCTGATTGCGCTTTGCTGAAACAGTTTTATTTTTCCTGAAATCATGCCTGTCTTAATATATGTTCTATCATGTAACTAATCAATTAGTTTGTCAAATTTTAAATATATGTTGAATAGAATTAAATATATTTCTGAAGTTATACTTTGAACTCTTAATGAGCAAAGCTCTAAAATAGCAAACCATTATTCTGTTGGCGACGCATGATAGATCTTGGAACGCAATTAGAATGTTTTCACGGTCTTCCTTGTTCTTGGTCTCATCAACCAACAATCTAGCAAAACTATTTCATTAATTGATTCCATAACCTTCTGCAACTATTTTACCCATGATGGGGATTATTTCATTTTGGAGTTGTGGCTTACTATATTTGACATTTGCACTGATCCTTAAACTTGTTTTTATTGTTTCTCATAGAAAACTGAAGTATTGTAATTGCAGGAACCACTTTCATTTACTTCTAATTGCTCACATCGTTAGTCAGTCCTGAAAGATGATTGACAAACAAATAAAATTTGAATTTCTTCAGCAATATGCTTTCTATAGTATATTTTATTTCCATTGTACATTTTTTTCCCTGAAGGGTTTATCCTTTGTACTTTTTAAAAAGGTTAATTTTCACTTTTTTGTGCTGCCAAAAATTATCTGTTCCATTTTATGGACTTGTGACTTTGCATGTAGGGTTCTCCCCTCCCCTCTGCCCTTTGCTTTTTTTCGACTGCCTGTTTCCTGTCAGCTTATCCTGTCGTTAAAAATGCTGAGTCAGAGCTTACAACATGGCATTTCCTCCATACAAAACAAAATGCAACATCTCCACCAAGTGAATACTCTGACATTCCTGTGATTTGCAAACCATATCTCTGCAAATGGTCAGACAATGACATTTTTGGATATGATTTAGAGGTACCTAAATCAGATGATATGTAAAGAGGAAAATACCTATTTATTTATTTGTCCATTTATGCAGCCACCCATCTCTATGAGTTATTTTTCAGTTGAGTTATATGTTTTCTTTCTAAAGCAGCTGATAGAAGACGAACGGTTAGATTCAGCATTTTCATCTATTAAAGAAGTTACCACTTTTCCTTTGATAGTAGTTACACGATTAGATTAGTTTAGATTAGATTAGAATTCTTTATTGGCCAAGTGTGATTGGACACACAAGGAATTTTTCTTTGGTGCATACGCTCTCAGTGTACATAAAAAGACAAGATACATTTGTCAAGAATCATAAGGTGCAACACTTAATGATAGTCATAGGGTACAAATAAGCAATCAAATCATACTAGGAAACAATATAAATCGTAAAGATACAAGCAACAAAGTTACAGTCATGCAGTCATAAGTGGGAGGAGATGGATGATAGGAACGATGAGAAGATTAATCATAATAGTAATGCAGACTTAGTGAATAGTTTGATTAAATTTATTCTAGCAAAGGAAGTGAAAAAGATTTACTTTAAAGTCACAATAGAGGCAATAATAGAGCTGAATAAAGGTCTGCATTTAAGAGCCAAATTAAACACTGAGTTTTTAAAGCTGCACCTGTGCCAGAAACAGTTTACCAATCTTATCAGAGTCAAGCACAAAATCACGGGGTTTAAAGTGCAGAAGCCTGGGCTGACTTTATGATCACTTCAAAAATAGGTCTGTAAAGGTTGATCTTTTTCTCTTTCTCAAGCATTTCTCTCAGAAGTATTACTGCGTCTAGCAACATTTATGACCACCAGCTGCTCCTGAATGTCTACAGTGGAGGCAAAATGAGCAAACGATGGCATAGGTTTATTGTGCAGCAGATTTCATGGTACCATCACAGCAAGAACGTAATTGGGTCATTTACACAAGGATCATGGACCCAAGTTATATTGTCATTGTGTCTTGTTTCAGAGGTCTGTGATATTCAGGCTTCTTTCTTTCTGAGTCCTTTCTAGCAGTCACTTTGCCTACCATGTTTTCTGCCCTAATTTTTTGTTTAAAAAAGGAGAGCAAGGTGGAGAAAATGTAAGGATCTTTCACCTATGTATAGGTTTACAGATTTGTACCTGCAGTTTCTGTGATTGAATTAAAATTATTAGAGGAGAATTTCCCTCCCAATTGGAAAATTTTATTAATTGCTGGAGGACCATGAAAACTTGGGTTTTTGGCATGCCTCTTTGAAATAGCCACAGCAAAAATAAAAGAATTAAATCCTTGGTAGATGGAAACAGTATCAAGAAAAGAGCTAGTTTCTGCCATATTCAGTTACTTCTGCAATATGATTTTCTTTGATAAATAGATTATAAACTTTAAAAAAACTTCAGGCTTTAAAAGTGTCTGGTTTTATCTTCTATCCAAAGTACTGAACTATTGGCAACATCATTTGACTCCTTAAAGACAAAGTCCTTTATTTGTGGCAAATAAGCAATGAAAAAATAACCTTTGTATTAACAAAAAGCATTTGTGCTAAGACTCCTCATGGTGCTACAAAACTCTGTCCATTTAGAAACAGAAAATATTTCTTTTGGTGGTTAGTGTTTTTTTCCCCAATCTTGAAATATTTTCTCTTGCCTAGGTCAGTCATTGCTTTTTGTGGTTTTGTTTTGTTTTGTTTTTTGTAAATAAATTGTTATCCTTTTGAACTGTAATTCTTGGCTGAGTTAATCATTTCCCCTTGCTGCTGTGAAGCTAATGAAAACCCTTTTTTGTGAAAATCAGGGAGAATGTGAGCTAATTAGGTAATTAATCCCTATTTGAAAGTTAGAAAGATCAATTGCATAAACCAGAAAAAGCTACAGAGCATAAGCCTGCTATACATGTACCATACTTTTCTGAAAACATGTCTGTTTTGAACTTTTTTTTTTTTGCTTCCAAAAGAATTTATATACCCATGAGAATATAGAATTCCCAGAAAGACCATTGGAATCAAGTTTTACAACTTTATGACAGAGATTCAGGAAATCTGCTGATTGGGTAATGCCTATATTTTCCAGATTTATTATTTTTAACAAACATTTCTTCCCATGCTAAGGTTTTATCAAGTTACATTCTGGAAGACTTGAGTTGGAAAATTCCATCATAATGTGCTTTATCACTATATCTAGTAAGCATTAGAATATATAAACATTTAATTATAAAATATTAAAAGTAATAGCTAAGTGATAATCAGGAGGATTTCATTAAATGTCTCTCTACCACTGGCCAATCTGTTTCTGTGGACTTGGTGCTCACAGTTGTTATGGATGCTATGACATTCCAAAATGACACCAAAGTATCAGCTTACGTAGGTGTCCATCATCTCATCTAACATGCTAAATGAAACTTGATTATTTTTCTTTTAGTGACAATAATCCCAAAGTGGGAGATTTATGTTATCAAAACATAGAAGGTTTTCTCTAGTTTTTTAGATTAAAATTTAGGACATTTCCAAGGGGTTAGAAATAATATTCAAAAGAAGTTAAAATACTATTTCAGAAGATAGGACTGGGAAAGACGAGCAGATAGTTCAAAAACTCAGATAATATAAGAAGCAAGAAGCAATATAAGAAGCAAGCAGATAATATAATATACTTTTTTGGTAGAGAGTTGATCGGTTTAATTAAGGAGTATAATTTTTCTAAGATCATCTTTAGAGGTAGAATCATAGGGACACAAATGCACTGAAATGTCATGAAAACATCTGGTATCAACATGCAGAAATGAAGAAACACATAATACAAAACAACTTCTGGTTGGGTAAATGATAGATTGGAAGGGACTGTAAAATCAAATCATGTTTGATCTCAATCAGCCACTACACCCTTTTTAATGATTTTTTTAAAGATCCCAGAAAGAGATTCTGAGAAGATATCTATTTCAAGACTGTACTGTATTTGGTTTAATTAAAAAAAAAGTGTAACTATGAAGTGTATTTTCAAAACATAAAACTTTAGTTAATATGACCTTGTATTCAGACCCAGCATTTTTTGCAATATTATTAAATTGATTATTTAATTGCTATTTAATTGTTACTATTGGAAGCAAAGAAAAAGATGTTCACTTTTTAGTCTTGCTTATACAATTTAAATATGGGCAGAATTCCAGAAAAATTGGAGGAGAGCCAACCTGCTCTTTTTGTGAAAAACCTAATATGTGAACTATTAACTTTGCAGGAAGGTTATCGGCTAGTTATCAAAAGAATGTACTGAGTTCCACCTCTCCTTTTCAAACAGTTCAGCTTTTCCATTTATTCTAAAGTTTCTCATATGTATTGTAAGATAAAACAGGGAAAAATAGACTCTAAAGCTTTTATTGAGAAAGAGGATAAAAGTCCTAAAATTATGTTCTTTCCTGATTACACCATATAAGTTAAACAAGACAGAAAAAAGAACTTTTCACCAGCAAGAATGGCTCATGAAGAAATCTTCAGCATTTCAGCAGTAGCCCAGCTGTCTTTATGTGTAAATTTGCAGGCAAGTAGTGATATTGCAGATGAAAACTATTATTATTTCAAGCATTTAAAAACAAGAAAAAAAGTCAGGGAAACAATTGGTTTATTGCTGGGAGAAAGTGGCAAGAAGGTGACAAGCAACAGGGAGAAAGCAGAACCACTTAACTCATTTTTTGCATCTGTCTTTACACAAAGGGAAAAAACAGTCCAACTTATCAAAAACAGCATCCCAAAAAACAGATTAGGAACACAAGTTAAAATAGGGAAGAAAATGGTAAATGAACACCTGTCTACCCTAGACAAGTTCAAATCACCAGGACCAGATGGATTACACCCCAAGGTTCTGAAGGAACTGGCAGATGAGATCTCAGAACCACTGAACTATATCTTTCAAAGATCCTGGAGCACCGGGGAAGTGCCAGAGGACTGGAAAAGAGCTGATGTAGTTCGCATCTTCAAAAAAGGGAAAAAAATAGCTCCAGGAAACTACAGACCTATCAGCCTGACCTCAATACCAGGGAAAAGATAATCAAGCAATGAATCAGCAAACACCTAGAAGCAAACAAAGTAATAACCAAAAGCCAACATGGGTTTGTCAAAAACAGATCATGCCAGACTAATCTTATTGCATTCTTTGACAAAGTGACAAAATTAATGGACCAGAGGAATACTGTCGATATAATTTACTTGGACTTCAGTAAGGCATTTGATAAAGTAGACCACAACCTACTACTACATAAAGTAGAAAAATGTGGGTTAGACAGCATCACCACCAGATGGATTCATAACTGGCTGACCAACCACACTCAATGTGTAGTCGTCAATGGAACTGAATCTACATGGAGGGAAATATGCAGTGGAGTACCCCAAGGCTCTGTTTTAGGCTCAGTACTCTTCAACATCTTCATCAATGACTTGGACAAGGATAGATGGGGAACTCATCAAATTTGCAGATGACACTAAGCTGGCAGGAATAGTCAACACTCCAGAAGATAGGCTTAAGATACAGAAGGATCTTGACAGACTTGAACATTGGGTGCAATCTAACAAAATGAAATTCAATGGTGAAAAGAGTAAGATTCTACATTTAGGCAAGAAAAACAAAATGCACAGGTATAGTATATGTGG